CTGGAATTCAAAAGTTATCAGTCCCATCGTTCCGCCTTTAACAGCAAACAGGAAGAAAGACCAGAAATCATGCCCTTAGAAGAGGCACAGGAATATGCTGGTCTGCTATGGCCAATTTACTTAGACAAATTCTCAGTGTCTTAACTAAGCTAAACATAGCTGCTTGAATAAATAAAATAATATATCCTCAAAGAGAAAAAAGGCAAGGGCTGGTAGTATTGACATAATGACAGTCTGAACTGCCAGGAGGAGGGACGTCAACTCTGTGCCTGTGGCCTCCTGCAAATTAGATAAAGTTGATAATTACATGCCATCATCAGATATACTGGCCTGAATAATTTTAGATTATTGTGAATGAAAACAGATAGGCACTATTTTATATAGCAGGAAATACTATTGATATTGCTGCTTAAGTTACGTGAATCATGTTACATTCTGTTCTTCTGAATTCCTCCTTGTTCAAGCTCCATTCCCAGATTATGTGAGTGACTAAATACTAAAACTGCTATTAGGTATAACCAGGATACTGCACAAATCCTCTCTCCAGCTAAATATTTCTTCATTCTTTCTATCAAGATGATGTTAAAATTGAGAAGTGGTCCTGGACATGCATTTTTTTTCAGGAACTATTTAATGAGTTTAAACACCACTAATGAGTTTAAAAGCAGATTATTAGAAAGGAATTAGTTTGCACTGGGTGCAATGCAGAACAATTCATACAAGGAATGGATTCTAGAATGGACTGAAATACACAACATTGCTGAACTACTTAGCGCAGTCGTACAGGGATCATAATTTTACCCTTTGGAGAGGATCAGAGGACAGCCACCTGTTCAGATGAGTGCTGAGCACTGATGCTTACTATTCTGTTGCTGCATTTTCACCGTGGGAGTAAAAAAGGATTTCTCCCACCAGAACAGTGAAATGAACAATCTTATCTGCCTTTGTCTCACTCTGTATTTCTACACAACATGAAGAACGGTTTGGCACCAAATTTGCTGAAATCCTGATTGTACCTAATTTAAATAGACATGTGACTTGAGTTAAATTCATTTTCTGTGCTTTCAGGGGACGCAGATTTTTGTTTCTGTTTATTCAAACTGCTGTTGAAATTGGTTAATTAAAAGGATTTAAAAAATCTTAATACTCTAAATAGAGCAAACTGGCTCTGAATTATTAAGCAACATTTTAAATGCATTTAAATAACCTTAAGTGACTTAACTGACACCTGATCCTAAGCTCTGTCTCAGAAAAACAAAATGTGAAATACTGTAGAATCTTGGCTTACCAGGGCTTCCAGATACAGTAAATAAAAAGCTTAAGTTTCTAAAGCAGTCTGCAAAATGCATTCTCCTAAATACATAACTACATAATCCACTTCAAGGAGAAATGAGAAGAAGAATTTGTACGCTGTAGCTTTGATATTTTAGTTGAAATTGGTAAGCTCAAAGTCTTTATTTGCTAACGAGATGGACTTGAGAGAGCTTTCCAGGACCTCACCTGCTGATACAAATCACAGAACTCCTACAAATGTACCATTAATCCCTACGGCACTCATTTGGGTGGGTTTGTTCGGCACGATTTAAGCACAGCTTCAACTAGATATGGTACATTTCAGCTTTTTTCCTACAGCACGATCAAACGCCCAGTTCACAAGACATTAGAGAGTTACAGGAATACTTCTGCAGATCTCCACAGAAGGAAGTGAGGAACCGGTCATACAGAAGGTGTACAGAGTTTGGGAGAAGACAGACCATGCAGAAAGCAGGCTGAGATGACTCCTGAAATCAGTGTTTGGGAAGGCTTTTGAAAGGGCCTTGATGAAAAAAATGTGAAAGAGAAATCTGACTGAACAGGCTAATATGCTCAGTGTAAGCTCTTCTCTGTTATAGCTGAATGCATTCTGAAGATGAGAGTGACTGTTGGAAGAACTATAATTCTAAAACCAGCACACACGTTTAAACAGCATATTCATTTACTTCCATAAAGCCTTTGCAGGTGCATTTAAGAATAAGGCAGAGAACTCGTACCACTGCTTTTGCTCAGAAGGATGTGCTTGCCAAGCATTTTCAAATGTAGAGGAACAAATTACCTGCTGGCTCAGTCCACCAGTGTGGAACACCTTTCTGGTAAGGTATGCGGTTGTGTCTTGGTTAAGGTATTGAGAAAGGAGGTGGTTAATACCTAATTTCAGTGCTAATAGAAAGAACAACACAGTCAGTGACAAAGGCCCAATAACAAGCTGCTGCATGTGCTTAAATGCTTTGGAATGTCACTGCTGCTTTAAAAACTACAAGTGGTGTCTAGAAAAGGTTAATCTGTGTATTTACTCATGTGTAGAAGTTTGTATTTACAGTAGGGTTATGATACCAACTTTAAGTTAGCTAAGGATATCTGTGTAAGCAACTGGAACATAGAACTAAGATCTAATGAATTTCTGTTTACCAAAGAAGTGAAAATACTTCAATGTATCAAGGCTGGTGGCTTTGAAAAGCATATTTTGAAAAACAGGTAAAAATTCTTCTGACAAGTTTCCCACCAGAAAATGCTGATTTGCTTGGAGATAATCCCCTCATTTAGATAAGTCAGATACTTCTGGGAGTGTGTATGCTAGTGTAATATAGATAAGGAGAGAAGAAAGATTATTAACTTGAGATCTTTTCATCTAGCTGCAGTGAATGCTCCACAAACGAATTCTGGTAACTTCAAAACAATTTTTTGTCTTCCAAAAATGTTACAGTTTAAATATAGAAAGACAATTTAAATGTTATCTTTTTTTTCTTGAGCACAAGCACTGCAAATACTCTGTTTTTCTTTCTTTCCACAGACTTCAACGGATGTCTGTGACACACATAGCAGAAGGGTCTTGTCAACTTACACTGCACTTTGAAGAGGCCGTATGCCACAAAGCCTAAGGTAACAAATGTAGTCAGCATGCTTTCAATGCATTCATCTTTTCATTTTTTAAACAAACAAACAAAACTCTTCTCTTTGTGGACTAAAACAATTCCAGCTTTCCAAGTTCCATGTGGAACATGACAGATGTCATTTACAGTTAGAAACCCCCTGGGGATTACTTTCTATCTGTTAGTTCTGGTGGTCATAAAGGCAACCAGATTCATACACTGCCACTGAGTCAAATCAGCATGAATCATTTATGTGACTCCTCAGACATGGCACTATTAAGTTGGAATCATAGCAAAAAGATGACAGGGTCTTGCAACAGACCAACAGCTCTGTAGCCTGCCATGAAATTCTTTTTCCGCCTCAGTGTTTTCTCCCTTGTAGTTTCACAAATCTACTGAGAGCACCACCCCATTCTGAATTAGTGGCCTGTCTTCTTTTCCATTCCTTTTTTGCTCGTTCTCGTTTGAGCCATCCAGTCAATTAATGGTGACAGGGATGTGATTATATACAGATACAGTCAGTCTAAACAGTGAGGCTTTAAACTGCAAAAATAAAAAAAAATGCAGTAATGTCTTTACAGGTTTTTGTGGAAGTAAAATTGTACTAAGACAAATGTATTACAAGCAGAGAGCTACAACTTGCAGAATATTTTAAATACACACGAGCATTGTTTGGACTGTAAAAGATTCTTCTGTTGAATAAACTGAATGATCTATAATACTGGAAACACAGCTGACTTCTAATCTTTGGTTCCACTGGAAACAGCATCACATGCTTAAGGAGTAAAGTTAATTAGTGATTAATGACACTGCCTTCTCAGTCAGACTGATTAAGATTCTCAATAGAAGACAAGGTAAAAAAAAAAAGCTGCAAGTACTACAATCTTGTTTACAGAGCTATGCTAAATATCTTCAGAAATCACATCCACTCCCAAGGTCGTAGCTTGTTAATGACATTATTTTCTTCTCCTTTTGGAGTACTTGTATTGTTTAAAACAACTGATAAATCGGATGATAAAGCAATAAGTTGATGTCACAAAATAGTGCTGTCACCATGCCAGTCAGAGCCCTATTCCTAGTGAACTTCCTCCATTGGCAGTGATGAGAAAGAAAACGGAAAAGCAACTCAGATAATGAGTTCCCTTGATGAAAAATGGCTTCACCAGTCACCTGAAGATTTCCCTTGCCCAGAGCTGCCCCAACTCATTTGCAGTACTGCGGTAGTGTGGTCAAAACCTGCTGTATTTCAGTCATTGCTGATTGGCTCAGTTTGTAGTCAACTCTGTATCACCCATTACCTTCAGCTTCACCTTTTATGCAGCACCTCCTGTCACCACTGCAGTTAGACCCACTGACTATTACTTTTGCTGTAAGGTAATGAATGACTAGATAAAAAGTGAAAGTTAAATTGTAGTAGAGTAATAAGCATATTTTGAGGGAAATCAAGTAACCAGCACACAAATATCCACTGACAAACCAACAGAACTGAATTTGCTTTTGTAAGCAGTATGTGGTATTGACTTTGAAAATCAGTCCCAAGCAAGTGCATCATCAGAATTTGGAGGTAGAAAGCATAAATGATTACTTAGTGGTAATGTAACAGGTGGATGAATAATTCATCACAGGGTACTGACTAGCTCAAAACCACTTATGATCTGACACTGAGCCTTCCTCCTGCTCATGACATAAAATTGCAACAAAATGGCAAAAATAAAACGACAGAAATACCAGCCTGTAACAGACCTAAACAGCATGCTACCACTGATGCTGTTTTCTGCGAGACAGGAAGCAGGAGATGCAGGCTCACAGTCAGAGTTTACAGAGCTTTCACTAAATGCGATCCACAACTTGTTTGTTTCAGAAACTGAACATTTTTTTTAATGCCACTGGAAACAGATTTTGCAATGCAATTTTGTACGTAACATGACAACACTGTTAGGTTAGCATCTGGCTTGCTCCCAGCCACGGTGCTTGGCAGCACTCTGGCTCACGCACACGTATCTTTTATCTTCTACCACCCTATAACGTACCGGTCACCTAAACACAGACTACTCAGAAGCAGTAGCATTATTCCTGGAAGGTATATTTACTCACATCTCTCCTCGGAAAGGTGCCCAGAAGCTTGTATTCCTCCCAAGGATATCCCTTGGAAGCCACAAAATCAAAGACAACCTGCAGCTTGCTGCTGGCCAGGAAACGCCGCTCAAAGAATTCTCCGCTGGGCGTCCGGATGCGCAGCTTGCTGACCGACTCGGTGCTTTCCTCTTTTGGTTCTGGAGGCAAAGACTGCTCAAGAGAAAGCCTGATAGCCTGAGGAAAAATAACCATTTAGGATGTAATATTAACAACTGATGAAAAGGATAGAGAGCTTTTTTGTTTAAGTCTTACAGAATTTCAAGATATACCACAGTGTTCCAGAGCCATAGTTTTGCTTTATATCTCATTGACAAAATTATTTCTATTCAGTCCTTAATAACAGCCCACCACACAACTAATAAAAATAAATCCTTTTTTATAACATGTATTATTTGGTCTACTGTTAACACACAAAAGAGATAAGAAGTAATTTAATCGTTTGGCAGAAAGCCTTGAAAAATTTGAAAGAGAGTAATTGTCAAGCAGCCAATTGCTTCCTTAATGGCTATAAACTGAAGGCAGAAAAAGTATTTCTTGAAATGCACTTGTTATCAAACTGCCTTCCTCCTAAACAGAGTTTGTAACAGAGACAGGGGCACTTGGTGGCAGCTCAGAATAAGAAGAAATGTATGTAGGAGATTTACTATGAATAAACTAAGACACTGCTAGACATAATAAAAAACAGCACAAAGATGTATTAGATACCTATTGTATATACAAAAATCAGAACAGTCAAACAAGAAAATTGGTCAGACAGACATAGGAGCATTAAGATTTTAAGACAGCAATTAATATCATCATTTGCAGGACAATTACTCCAAGCACAGCTGTGCACATCTTCTGAAACAAATGCATGCAACCAGGCAGCACTGCAATGACCAGGGCACATCGTGTATCTAAATGCTGTGTGTTTTGATGATGTTAAGATTTTAAGGGCAGAAATCAAGTCTATCCTTCTTTCCCTGCCCCAGAACCTACACTAACACTTTGATCACAATTAAAAAAAGGAAAAAAAAAAAAATCAACCACCACCACCACCACCAAAGATAGCTAATGCCAGACTGCTGCAGTAGGTAGGCTTGATTTTCAGGGATACCAAGTGCTGTTGGCTCTCTTGGACAGATACTGATTTTTCTTACAAATTAGATGATACTTAGAAAGCAGTCCTGTTAGCTACCACCTCACTTAATGCAGCAGTTAATGAGAATCACAACGAATACAAAAAGCAGCACAGTAATTCCTCATCCAAAATGCACCTTTCCAAAACGAAGAGGCAGTCAGGCCTAGATTTCACCTAGAATTCACCTTGATTTTCAAGGAACTTTCATGATGCACAGTTGCTATTTGTGCCTTTGAAAATCTTCCCAAGGTCATTTAGTTCCAGAAACTGATGGAGGAAGATTATGTTGAAGGGAAAGGAATGGGCAAGAGCAAGATGATGAAGCCTTTTAAATAGTCTACATCTTACACACGAATCTCTAAGCAAATTATAGCTCAGTATAAATATTTATACATAGAACTTGAGTTCATTTTTGCTCATCTACTATGAGATTATATTTTAAATAGATTCTATTTTAATTTTCTCTCTCTTCACACTCAACCACCTGCTTACTGTCTTTCTGTTTTGACATTTCCCCACACAGTATAACAACAGATGCTACATTATTTACGGAACCCAATCAATTATATTATAGAAAAATAAACAACAGTAGCTCATTAGAGCTCCTTTCTTTGTGCAAAGAATGCGTCGCTCCCCAAAGTAACCAGTCTCCCAGGCTTCAACGTGAAATGGCAATTTACAATGGATATTCTGTACCAGCAAATCAAGTCAGAAAACAATGATGAGATGGATCACATTAACAACTCTTGAATCTGAGCAAGCAATTTCAGTTTTGTTGATAAAAAGCTGTTGGGTATGTGAATAGCTCAATAGTCTGACTTTAAATATATGAACTGAACATAAAGGCACTTCTGTAAGTAAACACTGTCGCAAAACAATTCAGTATAAGTAATCTGTATACTTGAAAATGGGAGTGTTAGTAAACATTATTGTTAAAATCCCTTTTGTTCTACTAAGTAAATAGATCCTATTATTTTCATTACTGCAGCCTACATTAAAACAGGGAAGCCCACACTGGTTTTGATAACAGGGACTCGTTTTGCAGGCTTTATGTAGGAAAACAGTTTTCAGAAGGGCAACGTGTTAGAAAAGGTTCAGGAGCAGATACACTAAAGCAGACTGAATTATTGTTTCTATGCACACGAAATTACTTAAATAAATAAAACATACTTATTATTTCAATCTGGTGATGGATTTCTCAGTAACTGTTACTGCTACAGTACTGATTCGTTTCCAATTGCTATTGACCTCACAGAATGGCAGCCTTTTGATTACCTGACAAAATTCTCACAGTCCAGCTCTGTACGTTGCCCACCCAGCTGTGTTTTATTTTTGATTCTTGGCTTATGTTAACAACAGGAGCTAAAAAAACTCACCAGATACTGTAGGATAATACAGGAGAAGTGAACTATATTTCTACCAGACCACTGAATACGATGGCTTTGACTGAATCTAGTATTTACAGTGCAGAACTGTTTAAAAGGATTTTGAATGCTTAAATGGTTCAGATTTTCTAACGCAATTATCTTGGTCAAAATATATATGCAAATGCATTGCTTATAAAGTTTGTTTATCAGGTTTATCTCAGGGAATAATAGATGCATTGGTAGCCAACTTTTTTCAGTTGTGTAATGCAATTTTTTCATACATCAGCAAAGTACACAAGACTGAAATGTCAAGTATGTATTTAAGTCTGGGAGGGGGGGATGAGGAAGGCCGTGATTCATCAGGATTCTACTGGGCTTCAACAAAATGGAAAATTAAATGAGAATAAAACACCAAATTCCAAATCTCCATCAGCGATGGGAGACAGAGCAAAAAAGTTATATAAGCTCCACGAAAAAAAAAAAGGAACTCTCATGTTTTATATAAGTGAATAAATATTCAAAATATATATTTGTGGTAATATTGAAACGATACTCAGGAAATATGTATTCAATTGGGACAACGCTCAGTCAACTCTGCTTTCAGTCAATACATTTATGTGTACTGAAAATTTTATTCAAAGGTTTCAAAGCCCTTTTCAAATAGCTGTGTTTCATAGCAGCCCTGTAAGGACATCTATTTCAAGATCACTTCACAGAACAGCTGAAAATCCTCTAATGACTAGCTTGTTTCACCTTTCTTTTGAAATGTGGTGGGGCTTCAGGGGAAGAAACATGGCTGTAACACAGCCTTTTTTCTTCTCTTTCAAACTATAAAAAATATTCAATCAACCTATTCCAAAATATATTCTGTATTTGCCAGGAGTCAAAAAAAAGGAAGCCGCTAACATAAATCCATGCACAAGGTAATTTATACCTGCAGCTATGCCTATGTTGTTTTACACGTATATGATAAGAAATAAATAAAAATATTGAGGTTCGCATTAAAAAGCACACTTTGAATTAAGGTTACAAAGTGTGCTGAATGAAAGCTGTGACCTCCAGAAGCATCAAGAATCCAGAAAGCAGCTTGAAGAAGTGAAACAGCCCACCTCACGTTCTTCCTCCTGTTCTTTCCGAATCTGTTCCAAACGAAACTGCTCTGCCATTTCTCTCTCTTGTGCTTCCCTCTAATAAACAGAAACAAACAGTAATCACACATGTATTCCGTTCACTTTCCAGCATTCTGTTTAGTGGTGTCCGTTAAGCTGTATGAAAGCAAAGAAACTTCTTAACTGTTCTGTTGGAACAGGAATGGTTCATGGATGACTGACGTATCTGCATAACATAAAGCCATATGAATAAAGCCTTCACAGTCCTCTTGAAGCTTGTTAATGGAAAGTAATCTCAACTCAACTTCAGTCATCAAGAATTTACAACATTACTGTGATTGTTTACATATATTTTGAAATCTCCATTTTAAATTGCCTAACCATTTCATTGCCACTTAAGGCAATTACAGCTCCTACAGCAAAGCTCTAATCTTAAAAAGCAGAACTGAAGTGAGGGAATCCTCTGCTCCACAGAGATTTCACCACTTGTAAAGAGCCCCAGCATCCCCACTGCCACTTTCCCACACCTTTGCTCTGTCAGCCTCGAGCGATATGCGGTATGCCTCGTCCTGCTCCCTTTTCACATTTTCTCTGGCTTCACGTTCATCCTGGGGAAGAAAAAAAAGAAAATGAAAACTAGCAGCACACAGTGACAACCAGGACACATATCTTTATGTTCACCGCTATTTTCTACCCTCAGTGACTTAATAGAAGAATATTTGATATCTCACAGGGATGTCAGTCATGCAGCCGACCATTGGCCTGCCTTGTAGTAAGGAAGGGCACTGCTTCAGAGAACAAGGCTGGATTTTAGCTTGCTTTCTGCTCCAACTGACAGCAGGCAAACGCTCATCCTTCATGTGGATGCCTGCTCCCAGGTCCTTCCTCGTAAACTTGTCCTCAGAAGGATCTGCCTAGGGTCATGGCTATTAAGCATCACCCACAGACCTCAATTCATATTGAATACAACAATTAGAAGTAATAAGCTCTGCCCTGAAGTGTCTCAAACACACAGAGGCAGGCAGACAAGAAACATGAGGTTAGCATGCCAGCAAACCTAGCAAATTATCTTATTAGCAAATACAGCACAAACAGTAAGAGATCATGAAAAATATGCCAGTGACAAACTGAGGCATCATCCACACAGAGGAGGATCACAATGCAGATATCCCTGAAAGCTGGAATAACTGCAGCAGGGTGATATCTGACAAAGCAAAGTACGCAATCCATTGCTCTGTCCTCTGGTGCTGCAGCCATAGAAGAGCATGCTGCACTGTGCTTACTCTTCTCACATCCTATAATCCTCTCAGAGCCCTGCAGAGGTTGCAGTGTTTCCTACAAAAGTCAGTAAGGTTTAGCTGCAAAATTGCTGGTGGGCTCAGTGCTGTCACCCAGAGTCAGCAGCAGCAGCACAGCACTTACACTGGGGCTTCAAAGAAATGAAAACCTACCACTCACTCCTTTTTGAAGCATCATGGTAATCTTTCCATTTATCTGAAAGGATTGTTCCACAGAACGGAATCATTTTCCAAACAATCCAATCAATTTGTTCCAAGAAACTTCTCTACTTGGCAAAAACTCAGTGGAAGGAGAGTATATCAACTGTTACTGTCAGATTATGCAAACATGCTGGAATGTTCCTCAAATGAAACTCTTCAATGTATTGGTGGTTAAGAACTTCTGAAGTTGCACATAACCATAAGAGAAAAGGATAAATTGCAGTAAAAAGTATACAACCTCCATCTGGAAAGTAATGAGGTATTTCTAGAGGAAACTCTTCTTCTTTATAAAACAGGATCCAAAATTATTCTGCAATCAGTCTCTCCTAAATTTCATTAACAGAAGACAGAGAAACCATTGCCTCAGTTCAGCAGAGCTACAACGTGAGTAGACTGAATTCTTCCAAAACATTTTGCACTTTCTGTAAGCACACCGCAAGTATAAAACGGTGGGAAGCAGAACAATCTTCCCAAACCAACTTACTGACAGGAGACTACTTGAGGCAATCTCCAGGGGACGAGCATTTAAAAAAATATTAAGAACTGTTTTGGAGACAATCTGTTCAGCTTTTATGTTTTGCAACTTCATGCATTGTCATAACTGAATGTCAAGATTCGCACAAGTCCAGTAATGCCAGAGGGAAAACTGAAAGATCAGATGCAATTGTTGCAATTACAAGCTCTTTCTTTTGCCAAAGATAGCTAGCAATTAACATATATTACTTCAGTTTACCAAAAACAAACAAAAACAAACAACCCACCCTCCGATTGATGAGAAATTGCGTACGACTTTGATTCTGCATTACAGAAACTGTCTAGAAAACTCAAGAAGTGAGTGAGAAGCGAGTCTGTGAGATAAGCATGGGCACCATTTACCTACAAGGGTCTTCACTGAGCATTGTGGAAATCAGTTTAAATCACATAACCTGGCTGGCGCCTTCAAAATACACTGACGCTATCGATCCTACCGTAAGAATACAAATATTAATTCTAGACATTAAAAACTACATACTTGTTTCCTCCCTGCTCATCATAGTCATCATCGTCCTAAAACTGGATTATGAAAAAGATGCCAGGAATGTGAAGAATTGCTATGCATGACTGCCCTGTCCTCCCAAAAACATGTAAGCCACATCTAAAAGTAAATGACTGTGCCACCAATCTCTGCACTACACGGAAGCAATACTCTTTTTACTGAAACACATCTCAGAAACACATCTGCAGGTAGAAGAAACAGCACTGGAATTCGAACTTCCATAGGAGAAAAGCAGATGTAATCAGTCATATGGAACGCAGGCCTGTGTTGTGGTGTTTAGCTGGCACCAATCCCACTCTACAGGAGCAATCACAGCTACAGTGATTACACCAAACGTATTCTCTAATTCAAAATTACACTTTGGTGGAATTTTAAACAATGCTGTTATTTTTGTAGTCTAGTTTTTTTTTTTTTTTTTTGTCATTGTTTCTTCTAAGGGAAACCACACAAAGCATAAGGATGGCTCACGGTCACCAGAACACATTTTAATAAATGACAGAAAAAGCAGATCTAAATATTTTGCAAAGAATCTTTCATCACACTAACAAAGAATGCATTAAAAAAATTTAAAAAATAGCAATAATTAAAAATCATGTCATACGTGTTACTAGCCAAATGTGAGCTTTTTGCAACATCTACTGGACATCAGTAAATGCACTTCCACATTACTTTTGCAATGAATATAAAATGATCATCTTCCATTTTCAAGAAATCAAGACATAAACAGACAAAGTCTTATCCTGGTTCACTTGAACTGCCTGCATCAGAAACAGAGGCTATATTCATAGGTGGAAGAAAACCAGTTACTGAAACCATACGAGGATTACACCACAGCACACAGGACTGTGTCCTCTACCTCAAGAAAGCAGACAGCAGGAGTAAAGATTATTCAGTGATTAGTGCCAAACATTACAGAGATATTGAAAGATTTCTACAGGCAAAGATACCACAGAAACAATGAGACTGCTCATCAAGGTGACAGTGTACCCAAGCACTCACAAAGAAGGTGAACGAAAGGTCTCTGCCTTCCCATTTTGACTGTGCACCAGTAAGGGTGGATGTTCTTTCAGTTGAAAGCTGATATCCTCAGTAAAGAGAATATGAATTTTTCTACAGAAAGTACTCTGTAGTTATTAATTTCTCTGTTATAACGCACATTAGAGATGTTAAATCACAAGAAAAAAATAATAAATACACATTCATGAGAGGGTTAAAATGGACCAGATAAAATATTCTTGAGTAATACTCACAGCAACAAGACCAAGAAAAAACTCAGTTAAGGTTAAGAAGAAATACAGGATAACACTTTCCAATAATTATTCCGTATTCACTTTGTGAAGTCACCTATAAAGCACCTAACAGCAAGCACTGCTAGATGTAGGAGGATGAAAAAGCTGGAATTCTGATTGCATTTAGGACAGCAACATCCTCATCTCCTGCTGCTTATACAGGGAAAAAATACACAAGGATTAAGAAAGAAAAGGCAGCTTTTTGGATGGGATATTTTGCTGGATATGTCAACCATGGAAGTGCTGGGCTTCTTGTTGTTGCTGCTGTAGGCAGGATTTAATGATTTAACCCCAGGTATTAGTTTGCACCTGATTGGTTTCAAGGGAGATGTGCTACATTTTATTCCCCATTGCATTTTAGGATGAGTTTTATTACGAAGTTAAGCCAGATAAAACAACTTGAAAGGATCAGCATGAGCAAAAGACATTTACCAGAGCATCAGTGAATAAATGGATGTTACAAAAGACAAAACAAAAAAGTTTATTCACAAATGCTGAATGTTCACCAGAAAGATGGCTCATCTCACTGAACCACCCCTGAAATGAAAAACTGCAAGTGCTTTAGGCTATTCATGGGAGCGTTAAGGAGAAACACCCCTTTGTCCAAACAAACCAGTTTAATAAAAGCATTAATTTGACTCACTGCAGATGACAGACTTGCACATTGTGTAACTTCAACATACACGATGAGGAATATGTAGAAGAAAAAAGTGTACACAAAGCGCATGAGCCGTGTGGGGATGACAGAAACAAAGCAGAGGAAAGTTTGGTGGCAGAAGCAGAGGTGGGTAGGCAGAATCCTACCTGTCTGTATCAGCCCAATTCCAGATACTGATTGCTGTAATTTACTTTGAGTGATAAGGATGAAAACTGAAACAAAACCTTGTAGAAACAGACCTGCAGTTACTTTCCATGAGGAACCATCCAGGTGTCCTTGTGGATGACTACAGATGTGGGTTGTGTTGCAGGGAAAGCTGAGGTTTATTAGGAGAAGCAAAGCTAATATCCAAAGCTAATATTGCAGCCAGCAGCATGCACAGCTGAGAACCAATCTTAAGATACTTTCATTTCATTTTCTGTATTTTCACTGTCATTACTTTGCATTTTGATCAAATTCAAAATGGCTTGTAGACTCTTGAAGGCAGCAAATGTACCTGCTGGTGTACTGGTATGGCACACAACAGGAAACCAATTGCTGGAGCTTTGGGGTGCTAACATATTACAAATACAAAGTTGGAAAATTTATTCAAATGAATTTTGATTACTGTAGTTTAATAAGTTATAACTACTAATAATTAGTAAATGTGCTAATTGGGTTTTCAAGAGGTTATATCACTGTCTTTGTTAGATGCCTGTCATTACCATTATCTTCTTGTGCTTTGGAATTTAATGAATTTCATGTATTTATTCTCATAGCCTCCTGTTATGTGAATACTATATACCATGATATAGCAACTAGCAACTGCTAGGTGGGACAAAAAATATTAAAGGTATTAAAATGCCTAGTTTCTAATGGTTTTAATTCAACTCCTAAACAGAAATTGCAGAGGTCCTCCTGCATTGCTGATGGAAGCATTTAGGCCATTCTCTAACTGGATAGCACAACTCCAGGAAAGGAGTGGAAAAAAGCAAATGATCTGAAGCAGGAAAAGACCATCGGATTGCAGGTTAGGAGAACATTCACAGGGGCTGCTCCTTTTGAGTCTCCTTTGTGGCTGTGAGACACAATTTTTAAAGAGAAGAGAAAAAAAAGCGTTGGAAGCCAGAACTGCTGTATCATCATT